TTCCCGATCCTTGCATTAATGCCCTAAGATACTTCTGGCTATCTCTCTTAACAACTGGCACCACATCAAATACTCAAAAAAACCACCTCTCTTCCCATGGTGGGGTAGGGGAGAATTGAGAAAAAAATTTTGCTTCAGAGTTTCCTTTAGTCATGATGAGGCTGATGCTTATCATCATATTTGACTGTGTAGGTAGACATCACAGTGGTATGAAGGGAGAGTTAGGTAGTAATGAGCCTTCCACTCTCTTCCTTTCACAGACGACCCCTCCACCATGTTTAGCCTCTTAGGTTACATAGCCTTGGAGGTATTAAACATTTGTTTCTCCAGTTTCTTTCTCCTTTACCTAAGACTTAAAACCAACAGCAGCTCTAACCAACGGGGGGTACCTTCTAACCATCATCAGGGGCTGGTGTCTGTGTCTACTTCATTTTCACACCCAGGTACCTCCAACTGCACTGCTCGGATATTTTAAAGCTCAATTCTCTTAGTATCTTAGAGTGAAATCAGGAAAAGAGATTCACTGAGTGGAAAGGAAACAAAATTCCCTTTCCATTTAATCACTTTTAGTTCATGATTCTTTAGATCTGTAAGTCAGGAAAAAAAAGTGAGGCGACCTGTTTTATTATATTTGGGGGATAATTTCCAGGGTGGGGGAGGCGGTCAGGAGACATCTGCTGTAAGATTTTTCTATTAAAGGGAAACGAATTCTCCAACCAATAGACAACCTGATACTAGTTTGCTATCACAGGTACCAAATACAAAACTTCTGAGGGAAAAATTCCATTATGCCAACACTCTCAAAGCTCCCACACAACATTACAGTGCAGTGCTGTGTGAAAACTGGTCTTATTTCCAAAAACACTTGGCAGATTCATTTTCTTCCTGTTTCCATGCTTGTTCTGTGCTGTGTACTGGCTGGTACCTAATCCTCTGAGTGGATTCCTTAAAGGTCTTGCAAATACAGCTGATGAGAAAGCTGAATAAAGCCTTCTCTGCCACATTGCAAAAAGAGAAGTTTTTATTAATGGATAATGTATCTCTCTTTTATTCTTTCCTCAAACTCAGCCTGGAAACCAGAACTTAGCTGCCAATGTGCTGGAGGTAAATGCTTCACAGACACACAGACAAACCACAGCAGAAGCCTCTCCTTCACGCCTTCCTTCTGTGGTGTTTTCTAACTGAATCACTTCTTACCTGACAGTGGCTCCAGCTAAGGTCGCTGACACAGCCACCACCTGCTGATTTGGGGCTTCACACCTGCACAGACCTCTCCCCATCCCCCGCCCATGTGACACTCTCATACTGCTTTTCTTTTTTCTCTCTCTCTTTTTTTTTAAGATTTTATTTACTTATTTGACAGATAGAGATCACAAGTAGGCAGAGAGGCAGGCAGAGAGAGAGGAAGGGAAGCATGCTCCCCGCTGAGCAGAGAGCCCGATATGGGGCTCTATCCCAGGACCCTGGGATCATGACCTGAGTCAAAGGCAGAGGCTTTAACCCACTGAGCCACCCAGGTGCCCCTCATATTGCTTTTCATAAACCCCTTCTCCTTGTTCCTATCCTCCTGACCCATAGCCATACCTCAGGCTCTTTCACTACAGACTGGTCCTTCCCCTCCAGTGAGTCCTCCCCTGCCATCCTAGATGAGCTCAGGTAGCTGACTCCTGATACCCCTTACCATTCTGGAACCTTCCTCAAACATGGGTCAGAGGTCAGCCATGACAGATGCTGCCATGCATTAAATTATTCCTCCTTCTTTGCTTCCATCACTTACTGAACAGATCTCCATGGGCCAAACACAAGGACTGGTTGATTTCTTGTCTGTCATCTCATTTTGCTACTGAGCATTTTAACTCACACAGATGTAAATTATATCTAAACCAACTCCATATAGTCCGTCTGTCCAGAAAATCCTTTACAGTCATCCTCACAAGCCTACTTGGAGATGGAAAAGTCAATTCTATTCTCCTCACTCATTTTAGAGTCATTTATATTTACAGTGTTGCTCTAGCTACTGAGATGTACAGTGATTTGCCTTGATAAAATTTTTTTTTTGTCTCAAAAAAAGTAATTACCTCAGAAATTTAGATAAGTACACATATATTATGATGATTAGATTATAGGGAAAGTCTAAAATTTTTCAAGATTTTAACCCAGTAATAAATCCTGGTAGATAACAGTTTGCCTCTGAGATTCATACAAATGTGTCCTGTGTGAATAGTTCAGATAGCCTTGTTTCTCACATACATAATTCCTGACCGCATGGTGCTAATTCTTGCTTCTCTCTCATTAACAACTACATCTTTTGAACCTCTGGTTCATTACAGGGATGAATGATGTAAATACTGTTTGTCTACACTGCAGAAATTTAGTCCTCTGATTTTTTGGAATTACTTTTCCTGGACCATTCTGACATAGAAATGTGTGAATTCATTTATGGTTTTACATAACAATAATTTATTTTCCACTCAGAGCAATATAGAAATACTTCCTATACATATGACATCCTTTAAATATGTCTTTATGACAAGCTGTCCCTAAGAAATGATTCATGAATGACTAAAATGCTTTCAAATTTTAAGGTACAGATTTTCAATCATATATAATGTATAGATAATGGCTTTATTTTGAAAGGTACACAACGCTAGGCCAAAAAAAAAAAAAGGAATTTTTTTCTAAAATTGATTTCATAATGCAGTTCAAAATAAGCACTGTTATAAACAAAATTTTAGTTGTGGTATATAGTTTTCTGTGTTGTGTCAAGGTCATAAACCTAAAAATTTCATGCAGAGGGAAATATTATAAGCCATATGTTTTTCAAGATTGCAATTACAGAAGACAAAAGGTACTTTTTAGTATCTTTCTTAAATATTTAACAATACTTTAGATGGAGTTTCGTATTTCATTCAATGGCTGCATGTAAAACTTGGCTGTGAAAAGTTCCAGTTAGTGACTGGGCTACAGAAAAACAAAAACAAAAACAAAACAAAACAAAAAAAAAACACAAAAAAAACCTTAAAAACTCACTTTCCAGGACACACCCCACCAGTCACTACAGCCAGGAGCTCAGCAGGCTGGGCTCTCTTCATCTTCTCCTGTGTTTTCAATAGTTCTTCACTTTTAAAACTTTAAAGAATGGTAGGACCTGAGACCAAAGATACAGAACGGTGATAATATATTAATTTGTATACTAACCGATTCAATCTGGTATTTTTAAGACTCTTCAGGAGCCTGAAATGCATACATATAGTCTGGTGGGCACAATCAAAGCTAACTGTAACTGAACTTGGTTTTGAGTTACAATTGAAATTGTACCTCCGTTCTCCAAGAGATGATTTTCCTAATAATTATTTCAGTCTAACAATAAAGTATTTTCTAAAATTCTAAGGTTATTATTTCATTAGTAAACTCCTACCTGGTTTAACAGGATGAAAGACTAAGTCTATTTGCAGTACTTATTTTTTTTAACCCATAATCAATGTTACTGACAACATCAAAACAGGATTCAAGGCAATTTTCCTATGTTTAGTAACAAAGTAACACGATGTTTTTTCATAAGAATTCTCCTGCTTTTAACACTCACTGTAACACCTTATAACAATAGGATTGGGATTATATTTACAAAACAACCAAACTGATTAGGGCGAGGTGGCAAAAATATTCTCAAGTAATCCATCAAAGTTACAGACAGCTCTGAAGAACGTTTGGGGTAGGTCAGTGCCTCCCATCCTTTGAATGTCCAGGGCTCTTCAGGGAGCAGACCTATAAGACACGGTGGCTTCTGACGAGTAGTTTCTGGAACTTCCAGAGTAGTTTCTGGAACAGCTTAGAGAAGTATGTAATCAATAAGCACCATCATTACAATGGAATGTTGGTTGTGGATGTGGTACGGCTATGAAAAAGTGAAATTAGATCAACTCTTGGTCCTTTCAAAAGATGTGCTTTAAAGTGAAAAATCATGGAAATATGCAATTAATTGACTACCTCCATTTCAGGCCTGTATTTTAGAAGTTGAAACTGTTTTAAAATAAGTAGAAAAAGTTCACAAATGGTGGTTTTTACCTAGGGGTATATGTGTGTTTGTGTGTATTCAGCCGTAAGGTATTTTAACCAAACGCTCTCACTAATGTTTCGGCTCATTCGCATGCATTATGTGATCTCTACCATGACGTGTGCTGTGTTGTGGATAGACAGGCATCCTTAACAGTGGTGAGCTCAACTTCTGAACTCGGTTGATCCAATTCAAACACAATATATATCTATTGAATGTCTACAACGTTATTAGCCCAGGTTGAACGCATAGAAGCATATATATGACTCTCCGACAAGTATCTTGAGATATCCCTGGGGACATAGAATACTCAGAGATTAAAGCAATCAAAACAATAAATTATTAAGAAACCAAAAAGAGGCCTATCAAGTGCTAAATGAGTTTGGAACAGGGAGAGGCCAGTAGCTTAGCAGAAAAGCTCGATTCTTCTAGAATAGATTGCTTCATGAGACATAAGCCCAAACAGTTGTGTTCCTTATGTTATCCCTTTGCCTAGAAACATCCATTCACTAGAGGATAGCCCTAAGTCTGAGAACCAGTGCCCTTCCTCCTGTCCAAGAAGATTCCTTTCAAATCCCTCACGCAGAGCAGAGTAACAATGTTCTGACCACTCATCAGGACCATAAAAGCCAATTCACCCCCTACATTTATTTTATACTGACTCCCACAGATGCTTTTAGCATCTCTGGTTGGTAGAGGGGCACGCCCACTGGCCAGCTGCTTCTGTTCTTCCGAATTACCTCCTGTGCCCTCTGACACATAAGACAGTGATAAATAAAGGAAGATAGAGAGGACATTGAAAAAATCTCTAGACATCAGTTTTCTAAGTAAATAAAGTTTGACAGCTGACTACTGTCATAAGAGTGAAGTCTCTTATTGTCATCTAAAGGGATGATGTTAACAGCAGACTGTGTGCTATAACAGGATGTCTTTGCTCTTTTCTCAGAGCCAGATAACAGTGAATGGAAACTCTGGAGGTGCTGTGAGTCCAATGAATTACTATCAAAGGCCGTTTTCCCCTTCAGCTTACTCTCTCCCAGGCTCGCTCAATTCAAGCATTATCATGCAGCATGGCCGCTCACTGGGTGAGTCACTTGATAGCCCTGATTTCCATGACAACTTCAACACAACAAGTACAAACCACATGGGAAGATACCAGAGCAACTTTTCAAAAAAGGAGCAAGAGACATTCAACACTCCACTATTTAATGACCCTCTCCTAGGAGAGGAATCAAGAGCAGAGGATTCAACACCAGAGGACATAGGCATCCAGGGATCCCAAGACGATGGCTGCTTCTCCCTCTGAGGCTATTAAGTGCTCGGGGTTTGGGGTAGAAAGAAAAAGGGGGCCAGTTAGGCAGGAGAGTTCACACGACCAGAACATTTGCGTAGCACATGTCCACGGATGGCAAATCCCATCCATGTTCAAGACAGCCTGTTCTCTTGTGAAAAAGCTCTCATTGCAGAAAATGGTCTTGGTATTTGTAGAGAATTGTTGAACAGTTAAAATAGTCTAAAAAGGGGACAGGCTGCCTCACCAAACAGTAAACAGTAAATCACTGCCTCACAGAGTAGCAAACGGCTCCTTGAACTGAGACCAGAAGACCATCAGTCAGGGACAGGCATTCCTTTCAATAATGATCCCTGAATTTTATAGAGTTCTTAATCCTTCGAAAAATTTGGAATTTGATGAAAGAGAGCTGTCCTCCAGGAAAAAAAAAAATGAATATTTGTTCGTAAAAAAGTTGTAAGTCTGTAATTTCATGGGGCTAGGGACCTCTTTGAAGCCTCCTGGATAAGAACTTGTACCATATAATGACAAACATTTTTATGTGGCAAAATATATTAGAACTATTTAGAAAATAACAGAAGTATTTCTTAGTTTTTAAAAACATTAACAAAAAAACCCCCACCCAAAACACTAAAAATCAAACCAAATCAAACCATCATCCAAATTCCAGCTGAGAAAGTTTCCATGATGTTGGTGACTGGAAAGCTTCCAGGCAGCAGGGAGGAAGGTGGTGGAAAGTGAGCCAGCTACACACCTCTCAGGAAATCAGGACAGGATCAATGCTCTAGGCACCACCAACCAGCGACAGAAAGAAAGTCGAACACAGGGCTTTCACTCCCATTTCTTCATTAACAACCGCAGACCTTCATCTTCCCCAGCATTGTTTGCGGAAAGACGTGATGCCATCGGCTTACTCAGGACCATTGCAGATCTCAGCTTCTGTGGTCCACAAAACCTCTGTAACACTTATGTGGAGCCCTGAGACTCATTAAAGAAAAATCTAAATATACCTGTGCCTTCTCTAATACTGCTCCTGGAGATCATCTGTAAATCTTAGAATGATGTTCTTTTAAAGCGTAAGGAAGTAGAACGCCCTTGTGCCTGGATGTTTCTCTTAAACCATCAGTCCCTGGTGCAGGATTATGATGGGAATCTCTTATACGTAGATTTTTTTTTTACAGAGCTATGCATTATCACAGATCTATAGTAAAACTACAAGTTATTCTAGGCCCTAATGTTCTCCCAAATAATTATTATCCGTTTGACTCTCTGTCCTCATTACCTGTCTTAAAAAACACAACTTTGTCCCTTTCACTGCAAGAAACAAAATATATAAATACTTGAATGCAGACGGGCTTTGATATTAGAACGTATCAATAGGCAGACTCACATACAAACCATACTACCTGGAAAGAAATTCCCTCTATAAACACATTGGAACAGATACCCATCTCCCAGTGCTGAGTTAGGTCATGAGGAGAGTGTAGAAATCTATCCTGCCTTAGAGAAACTTTATATTGAGTTGAGGGCAAAAAGATGACAAAAATGAGAGTGAGTGGACCTATAAAAGACAAATGAAATAAATAATAGGCTAAACTTGTATTATGTAAGCTATAAATTCATTGACTCTTGTGAACCGTGTGTGAAGACAGAGTTAATACTGTTTTCTGGGGCTGGGATTTTGCACAAATGAGGTGCTCAAAAAGTATTTGTTGTTTATTTGAAATAACATCCTCAAGGTTCCCAACTCAAATCCTTTTGGGGATTAAGTGGGAAATCAGAGTCAAAGACCACATATGTCTTAATTTGGAGTGGCTTGCAAAAGACACTGGTTTTATGTACAATGGCAGGTGAGGCCATTCTTCAACAGAAATGGATCGAAAATGCTTTTCTGTTGCAATTCAACTGAACATAGCCGTCTGTAGTAAGAGTGACAGCAATTATAAATGTTATCATAGATTTTAGCTTATAGGCATGCTCGCTGGACTTATCCTTATAATGATGAGTTAAATCTTTTAAAAATCTTACTTATGGAGTTTTATATAAATTTGTTACAAAAACACAGTCATATCTTTTGAGAGGGAGAGGGAGAGAGAGAGAGAATCAATTAATGCTACTCTGAAACATTAGAACTTTTCCACATCCACATAAAAAGAGACCTTTCTGAGTCCCGTATTAGACAACCTATGTCAAGAATCATTCTTGCTCACCAAAATTTTGAAATTTATTGTAAAGAAGCAGGAAGTCATATTATCATTTGTACAGAAGGAATGGTAATGATGTTGATCTTCAGACTTATCTGTGAACTAAGAGTAAGTGGACTATATAGTACTTAAAGTCCTCTCTGTTTCTTAGGAAAGTATATGAAAAGTTAATAAACATGGCATGAAGGTAGGAACAGGAGAAACCTCTTCTAATTTATAGGCTTAGGACAATTTTTAAACTCGGGGCAAGAAGTGGGTTTTGGTATTTTAAAGTAAAAGCAAAGATATTATGGTCATCGTGACGACTTAGCGAAACACCAATACCAGTAATTTAAATCATTTATTTAATCCATAAGCTTTCACATCTAAGAATACGTTCGGAGGTGAAGATTTCTTAATGTGATTTTTTGTTTTTATTTTTACGAAATTGCTGCTGTATACTCGACAGTCCTGTCTCTTTTTCTCAGGACATTTCAGCACTTTTAAGTACTAGCAGTCAGCGGTTTCACAAAAATAGTATGAACGTCTCAGTTTCTGCCTCCTCATCTATAAAACGGACCCCTCCCCCCAACACAGTAGAAGGATAAGACGATGTCATGCAGGTGCTTTCTTAACACAATGGCTGCTCCACAGTCACGCGGTCTTCCAGCAAGTGCTATTCTCCCCCTCCCCCTTCGACGAGGACCTTGTTGTTACAGTTGAGCTGGGATACCTACCTGCAGGCTAGCAACAGCTCGAATGTAAGGGAAACGGGTTCAAAGAGACAGTGATGGCGACAGATTCTGTGTTACAGTTGCCGTCAGTACACAAGAGGCACCATCAAGTCCTGATTGCTAGTGCGTGCGGTACATTGTGTCTCCCCACACTGTCTCCGCAGACTCCGCAGAGTCGTATCCCCAGCACGCGCAGTCCCTGGACGGCACGATGGGCAGCTCCATCCCACTGTACAGGTCCTCGGAGGAGGAGAAGAGGGTGACGGTCATCAAAGCCCCGCATTACCCGGGGATCGGGCCTGTGGATGAATCCGGAATCCCCACAGCAATTAGAACGGTAGGAAATGCCCGGGTGCGCGTTGTTGCGGGGCTGGGCACAGAGGCTACAAAGGATGGATTGTCCAGGCTTGGTGCATTCCCCTGCTCTTACGTAATGAGGATGGCCCTCTGGGCCCTCTGAGTGCTCATGACTATTATGCTGTGTGTGGCTGAGAAAGAGAAAAAGATCTCGTCAATCGAAGCTGATCTCACAATCTGTTTTTGCATTTTGATAGAAAATCATGAAAATTGTGATCGTGGGAACTCCCCCCTCCCACCCCCGCAAAAGGAATGTTTTGTTTTGTTTTACCTTTTTCCAAGGAGTGTTAGGGCGATAGAGAGAAAAGAGAAGGAACAAGAAAATGTGAATTCTTTGGCTGCATCGAATTCCCACGTGCATTGCAAATAAACCAGCTTTGTTTCTTGAAAGGGCTGTGTGTTCCCATCGGGAGACTGGGAGCTGTGAATTGGGCATTGGGAGGTGAGATGATTGGAGTGAAGGGAGTTAATGTCATGGAAAGGAAAAACTGTGAAGAAAAATACACATCTGAGTGTCCCTCCTCAGCTGCGCCTGCTGCGAGCCCTCGGGGATGATAAGTGAAAGTGTTTGGATTTTTTTTTTTTTTTTAAGTCTTTAAACTCTGCCAAAGCACTGCTCAGTGTGTCAGGGCAGCCCCTTCTGGCAAAGCTCAGCAGCGGCTGAGGCGGCTTGCTGACCAGTCTCCTTGCAGAGAAGGTTTGTGCTAGCCGCAGAAGGAAGACTCTGGGAGCCAGGATGAGAGCAGCCGCACGCCTGCAGGTGAATTGGGGGGCTGTGCGAGAAGTGGGCGCAGGCTGAATGGAAGCGCCTGCAACACCCACATACCTGGGGGCTCTGGTTGGGGGGGGGTCGGTTGCCAAGAGCTGCTTCCCTGGAATGCAGATCCTGGGGGGCCAAAGACAATAGTGGATAGAGGAAAAGAATGGGAAAGGGATCAGGAAAAAAGCAGTGGTAAGATTGCCTCTCTCATGTGGGAATTACACATTCTAAGAGTTAAAAATTGATGAGTCCAAGCATCTGTATTAGAACCGAAAGCCAGAAAGTCAGTCTGTTGGGCAGTTGCTGGGGTTGTAGACTCGCTACGTTCTGGGAACGCTGAATGTGGCTAATTATAAAGTCCTACAAATCTATGTTGGGACTGATGATTGTCGTATTTAAGTAACAGAAAAAGTTTGGGGATGGTCACTAACAGTACTATGATGACTACATGTTTCTGGTGATGGTGTTTTGTGATTTGTTGGCCTTTGAAGATTTCTGATTCAGAATGGTTAAATTTGGATTTATTTATTTTTTTTTTTTTTCGAAATAATGGAGGGATCCAGTATCAGACAGGAATGGTGTCACTGGTTTTGTTTCCTTGACCCTCCGGTCACAGTAGATACACATATTAGGAGATCCCTGGTTCTATGTTGTTACAGATTTCTGTCTGAAAGGATTTCTGTCTGAGATCTCTGGGTGTGTCTTTAACATGATAAATGATATATAAGAAACAACACAAAAAGCTGAATCATTTTTTTTATCCATAAGACATAATTTTAGTACATAGCAAGGACTTGCTTGTTAGTTTTCAAAAGAAAAAAAAGCAGACATCATAGATGGTTTGTGAAAATCAAGGAGTATTAAAAGTCTATATTGTCTATCTACTTGCAAATCAAAAGCATGTTTAGATATGCATAAGCAAATACATGTGCTAAATCTTTGATGTTAGTTTTTGTTCTATAAAGTAGAAAATAAAATATAAGCAGCCCAGAAGTTCCTTATAAGGAACCAGAATTTTTATATACAGCTGTGCTCTTATTTACGCTTTTAAAACTTTACAAAGAAGGTGCAGGTCTGTGAAGACTCTTATTCTTGGTCCCTATTTTTCAGCCTTGCTGAGCACATCCCCAAGTATAGCTGTGTTTATAAATGTTGAGTCAGGCCATCTCTGAGCCACAGCAGGCCAAGAATCTCCAAGGTTGTTTTTTCTTTCTCATCCGTGTAGAGAGTAATGATGATCAGACTCAAATTGCTACCCATGGAATTCTGCTCAGTGTATCCACCAAAGGCAGTGCTGTCTCAGTGTATCACGTTATGGTCTCATTTTAGACAACCAGCCTATACCAAGGAAACAGAATTTTGTAAACTAGAAACCCTAGAAAGCCAAAAGTCAACAAATGTACCTTTGAGTGATTTGAATGAAGGCTCCTCAGTCTGCCCTCTCTCATGTGACCTGGGACGTCTGTGTTAGCCTTTTACTACCATTCTTAATCACAACAAAAATCGCTAGGGTTCAGGTCCCAGGAGCCTGTCTAATTAAAGCCAGCTAGTTAAGTGAAATACAAGATTCTTTTCTTCTAGTTCAAATATAACACCGTGTGAGCCCTTTCAAAGCTCGAGAGGGGCAAAAATAGAATAGAATCACTGTGTACTCGTGTGTAGAAAATATGTGTCCTTTCCCTTTTTGGAAGTCTCTGCCTGATACATCAATGTAGAGCTCTGATACTTTGTAAGCTGTAGCAATGTAAAACGCAGATGTATTCTGCCAAGATCATAGAAAACAACCAAATAGTGAATTGCTAGTAGTTAACTGTCCATTTAAAATAACCCTGAAGGACATATGTGAAAGTAAACATCCGTAAATTTGAGTAGACTTCTATTTACTTCATCTCAGCATTAGCCATAACATGTCTATGACGTCATTTATTAAAGAAACTTCAAATGCTTGGAGTGCCTCTTTTAGAAAGGGACAGAGAGTTTTAGTATTGCCTTATACCAGTTTCCTATTCTTTGCCAACCAGTTGGGCACTTCCTGGCATCTCTGTGCTCACCATATAAAGCAAGCAGATGGCAGAACTGAGCTCCTGCCTGATCCATGCCCTCCAGCAAGTGAAGGAAAAAAATTCCTGTCTGTCAAGGTGCATTGCCATATACAGTGATACAACTTACTTATTCGATTTCCTTGTTGCTATTGCTTGTGTCCAGGTATGGCTGGGAAATGTGTGTCCACGAAGTGATGTCTTATTATCTGGTGCTGAATACCTAAAGGAAATAGAGCTTAATGAAAGAGAAATTGATCTTTTAGGAACATGTCCCTTAAAGATACATGTTCAGCTACTGTATTTAAGCCAGCAAATAATAACTAGACACCTGCTTCATCACTCCCCCCTCCTACCAACTCCCACCACTCCAATATAAGGTCAATCAACAGTGTCCTCACTTTTCCCATTGTACAAAAGAGCCTTGGGGCGCCTGGGTGGCTCCTTGGGTTAAGCCGCTGCCTTCAGCTCAGGTCATGATCCGGCATCCTGGGATCGAGTCCCACATCGGGCTCCTTGTCCAGCAGGGAGCCTGCTTCTCTCTCTGCCTCTGCCTGCCACTCTGTCTGCTTGTGCTCTCTCTCTGACAAATAAATAAATAAAATCTTTAGAAAAAAAAAAAAAGAGCCTTGAATGAATAAAGGGGTGACTCCTAACGAAGTCAAGTAGCTCTTAATGTTAATCTATATTTATGGCGATTATCAGAACTATATATTCTTAGAGACGAAAATGAATGTAAATATGGCACCCCTTCAATTTCCAGATGAAAAATGCAATTAGCACATTTCTGAGGAAAAAAATAGGATATAAAATCCATACCAAAGCTCAGTCTAAAAAAGTACAAGAATATTTCTGTGCCAGTCCTAACACAGAGTATTTTATATCAAGAGAATTGTCTCAAAAAGTCCAGTTTCTTTATTACCATACACAGAATGATCGAGTTTCTTGCTGGAGTATGTCTGGATATATTGAGATAAAGATCTTGCTAAGCAAAATCTTTAATTATGATTATAAAGGTAGAGGTCTACTTTCACAGGTGTAGAATCAGGTAGGATTCCATCCAATAACCTGGATTCATTCTTTCTTTTATCCTTAAATACGTAATGTTCCTTGAGCACAGCCTATATTCTAGGCATTGTTCTAGGTCTTATTGTATACGTGGCTTCATTCTATTTCCATACAATCCTCTGACGTAGATATAATCTCATCTTAGAAGGGACAAAAATGAGGCCTAAAAGCTTACCTGACTGGCCCAAATTAATATTGCTAAGAAGTATAAAACAATAATTAAGGGAAGCGAGATATGAATCTAGGTTGAGCTGACACTAACTTCTTTCCACTATAGCCCACTGTTTCTATCATGCCCAAATCCTGGGCTGTGTAAGGAGCTTCTACTCTCAAGGAATTTACAATTTAGCTAGGCAAATGTTGCATACATTCTATTATCATGTTTAAAAAATTTCAAGATACTATCTACATCTTTTTTAGGTTTGCTGCAGAACTATATCATATTTTTATTTCTCTAAGCTTAAGCTGATCAGAATACAGTTTGAAAGTCAAAAATATTCCCTAGTTAATTCTAAACATAATGTTTTGAACAAAACACTCACTAAAATGTTTTTAAGAATAATGATAATTATCACCAAAAGGAGTTAAGCAAACCATTGCAACACCACGACTTTTATTCCATGAATTTTATATAAATATGTTTGTGCAAATACCACCTATCTAGTACTGGGCACAGTATGATTTGCAAAAAAAATTAAAACCATAGCATATAATGTGTCATTTCAGCCTCATGCAAACAAGGGGTAACATATTTACAAACTGCAGCCATAACTGGTTACATTACTGGTACTACCGTCATGAAATAGATCTTTTATTTTTAATCCCAGAACAGAGATCTACTGTGAGAAAAGATACAGTATAGAAAGAAGAACCTTGAGGAACACTGTTGATTTGGAATCCGTTTTTTAACTCCTGGACATTCTCTTTTACAGACAGTTGACAGACCAAAGGACTGGTACAAGACAATGTTTAAGCAAATTCACATGGTGCACAAACCAGGTATGTGTGCTACTGTTTTCTGATCCGATCCTCCTGGCTGAGGGAGGTATCTGTCTACTCCTATAGAGTTCTCGTTCACATAGACTCTTAACAGCCTAGCACCACCACGGCCCTCCCTCTTTTCTCTTCTCCTTCTGTCACCCTCCAATCACAGACACCTGTGCTCCTGCCTCACTCCTGAGCTGCCAAGGGCTGCCTAGCGCTCTGCTCCCTCCCTCCTTCCCTGTCGCAATCTGGAGCGACTTGTGTGGCCCGGTGGGTGCATAAACAGGCTCATTGTTCCTCTGTCCACACATGTCATCTTCTTTTGGAGAGAGTGAGCAGAGGTGCGCGATTCAGAAGAGAAAGCTGCCTAAAGAAGGGAGGAAAAGGCATTGATCTTGTATGCTGGGGAGAGGGCTGCCCGAGCAGATAGGTCACAGATAAGCAAGGGCAAACGTCAGAAGCCAGCAACAAAACAATATTAGAAAAATTTTTATAATGGCATTATGAACTAGACAAAAGACATTGATTTTCTTTCTTTCTTTTTTTTTTTTTTAAGATTTATTTACTTATTTATTTGACCGAGAGAGAATGAGAGAGAGAGAGAGAGAGCTCCCAAGCAGAGGGGAGGAGCAGAGGGAGAGGGAGAAGCAGACTCCTCATTGAGCAGGGAGCCCGATGTGGGACTTGATCCCAGGACCTTGAGATCATGACCTGAGCCAAAGGCAGAGTCTTTTTTTTTTTTTTTTTTTAAGATTTATTTATTTGTTTGACAGAGAGAGATCACAGGTAGACAGAGAGGCAGGCAGAGAGAGAGGGGGTAGCAGGTTCCCTGCTGAGCAAAGAGCCTGATGCGGGGCTAGATCCCAGGACCCTGAGACCATGACCTGAGTTGAAGGCAGAGGCTTAACCCACTGAGCCACCCAGGCACCCCCAAAGGCAGAGTCTGAACTGGTGGAGCCACCCAGGCACCAGGCACCCAATACACTGGTTTTCGACCAAATATTTGTTTGCTTGTTTCTCTGAAGTTCTACTGTCTTGTTATGATATGGTGACCGAATCTGTATTACCATAATATTTATGTTTCATTTTCTAGATGATGACACAGACATGTATAATACTCCTTATACATATAATGCAGGTAGGCCGGGTTTCCTTGCTGACGATGAATGCTGTATGCTCGGCAATGCTTGGAAGCACTCACACTCACTTTTTCACCCGTTTGAGCCGCATGTTTTCAGTTTGTACAATCAAGAGGTTGCTGGTTTTCTTTTCTCAAAGCATGCATGACCGGAGGATCGATCTTTTCTCATGGAAATGAGAACTAATACTGTTTTCTCTCATTCATTCTCACTGTCATTTTATTCTGGGCCTCAGGAATGTTTAACCCAAGTCTGAAGGACAGCGGGAACGAACACGCTGTCACTGGGGTACGAAGTCAGATAAAGATCTTCTTTTGTCAGCAGCGAGCGCAGTCACGATTGCGTAAGATCGTTCAATTACACTTCACAAAAAACAAGTCCGGCAAAGTGTTCTGTGACTTTGTCCCTGCTTGTGCTCCCAAAATGCAAACATTCATTGAAGGGTTTTTTTAAAATCCCACTTTGCGGGGCCACTTTCCTGATGCAGAGTTGCCGACGGTCCTGATGACAGCACCGCGATTCTGGGCGTTTCTCCTTGCGCTTGAGTGCATTGGTGTCCTGTGCCTCGGTCGCAGGCCGGAGTGAAGGACCCCTCCAGAATATTTCCCTTTCTCCTAAATGTCACATTAGGGGACCCCATGGAGGGCCTCCTGTTGCCATTCACCCCCAGGCCGGAGACTTGCAGAGCCTGGTTTTCCTTTCCTGACATGGGGCTGCTCCCCTCTCCCTCAACAGCAGCAACCTCGCCTCCCTTAGGGGTCCCCTTGTCAGCTGCAGAACTGCACAAGACTCTCCCCCTCCTTGATGCCTGAAGGCCAGCGCTCAAGCCCCTTAACTGTTGGGGATTCTGCTGACTGGTCTCCAAGGACAAACAGAGAAGAAAAACCGGGTAGAACAAGGTTAGCTCTGAGGTTTGGGTCCTCTCTCTTCCAGGTGACAGCAGGAAGCCCAGGAAAATGTTTCCTTCAACTTTTATTCCTAGCCACGGTTTCTCCGGACTCACCTCCTGGGTTTAGTTTCTTCAAAACAAAACAAAACAAAACAAAAAAATTTGGCCAAGTAAATTTTAGATATTACTGGCTTTATTCAACGATTCACGAATCTGGCACCATCCAATCTAGCAGATAGAAAGGAGCACTGGGGAGCTGTACAAAAAGAAAGACTTTTATAGGGCAGAAGGGAGCCAAACAAGGAAGCTATACTAGGCAAAAAAAAAAAAAAAAAAAAAAAAGTGGGAAGGTGATTGCGAGATTAGTTTTCCTTTTGGGCATGGCAGGTGAGCTCACTGGTGCTGGTCAGGCAATTCCTGATCATCTGGTTTAAGATTCCATTGCTAGCAAAGCCAAAACTGTAATTAAGTGTCCATTTGGTGACATGGGGCTCAGCATACAGAAGTGACTCCTTTTTGTTCTTCACAAGCTGTAAAGTTGAAGTCTGATTGTAGAATCCGGGCAAAACAATAAGTGCAGACATTGTCTTTTCTTCCTTCCTTCCCTCCTTTTTCTCTCTCTTTTTAAAGATTTATTTATTTATTTGAGAGAGAGAGAGAGAGAGAACACAAGCTGGAGGAGGGGCAAAGGGAGAGGGAGAGAGAGAAGCCTCAGGCAGACTCCCTTCTGAGCAGGGAGCCCAATGGAGGGTTCCATCCCATGACCCTGAGACCATGACCTGAGCCAAAATCAAGAGCCGCACACTCAACCAACTGAGCCACCCAGGCATCCCCAGACATTGTCTTTTCATTTGTCACTGCAATGTGTATGGCCCCTCAGGAGAAGTCGATGAATGAAAATTGACCTGACTCAAAAGATTCAGGTGGCAGGAAATTCAGAATTTTTATACTGATTTTTACTACTGAAATTCTGTATCCTTTAGTAATTAGTAAATTGAACAGTAGTTACATATAACCTCGCAGAGTGCTTAGAGATGGTTTTGCTGTTTCTTTGGTAGACAAAGCAATTGGAACGAGCCTCTCCACTCTCTACAAACCCTGCGTCCCACTGTGCTCTGTCTAGTCCTTCCTGCCTATTTTTGTGTTTTTTTTTTTTCCCTAAGCCATCTCTGCTGCCCGCTTCCCCCACCCACCCACCCAAACCAGTCCTCCTGGGCTCACTCCAGTGCCATGGTTCCATAATATCTTCTCTGACCAATCCACCATCTTTTAAGATATTTAATTTTTAATATGTATTTTCCTTATTTGCCCTTTATCATGTTCCCAATTATTTTCTTTCTTTCTTTCTTGCTTGCTTGCTTGCTTTCACAGAGGGGGAGAGAGAGAGAGCACAAGCAGGGGGAGCGACAGGCACAGGGAGAAGTAGGCTCCCTGCTGAGCAAGGAGCCTGATGCAGGACTCGATCCCAGGACCTTAGGATCATGACCTGAGCTGAAGGCAGATGCTTAAGCGGCTGAGCCACCCAGGCATCCCCCAATTATTTTCAATCACAGTTCTATCCGTGCCCCATTTCCCCAGATCCACTACAAGCTTAAAGGGGATTTTTGTGTCCTTAAGCCTTGCTTAAGGCTTATACACAGCACACGTACAACTTGCTCAATATTTTGTTCAATTGCAATTAACATGTCAAAGATCACATGTAAATCAGAACTTTTAAAGTAATAGAAGATGTTTGGAAATGGTTCTGGGAACTATTTTTTAAACTTAACTATGTTATTAGTTTATATTAGCCAGGAGAAAATTTGCCTTTGAGCACCTGTACATTGATTCCTCATACCAGTCTGAATTATTACTAATTTCAAAATGATTGTTGAAGATTCACCATAATCAGTCATTGTGTACAGAATATATCAATAACAAATTAATATATTAATCATGCTTAATAAATTAATAATATTCATAAATCGATTAAGTAGTACTCCCCAATGCATGCATCATGGATATGCTTACTGATAACAATGTTGGTAAGATCACTGGATATTTTGTGGGGTGTAAGTAATTTAATGTGCTTTTAAAATGTTATCTGCTTCTTTTTGTTTTGTCGTGTTGTGTTTCACGATAGGCCTGTACAACTCACCCTACAGCGCTCAGTCACATCCTGCGGCAAAGACCCAGACCTACAGACCCCTCTCCAAAAGTCACTCGGACAATGGCACTGATGTCTTTAAGGATGCCTCCTCCCCTGTCCCTCCCCCACATGTTCCTCCTCCGGTCCCACCACTTCGGCCAAGAGATCGATCTTCAACAGAAAAGTAAGACATTTCCCCCCGAAGTGGCTTATCTTCAGTTTAGTATAAAAGTAAGACCATCTGGCAGGAGACTCTAGCAGGAGACTTGGTGCTCACGTTACGGAGATGCTAAGCGCAGAACCTCCGAGAGCGCATGCGCCCTCTTGACCTCCTCTGGTGCGACTGTGGCAAACAGAATCTTGATTCATGATCTCATAATCGCCTAGGTTTGAAGTAACATGAGCACAGTCTTTTTGATCAATAAATGTATATAAGAAGACGAATAAGTAGAATTAATTGACACCTACTTCCTTTGACATTGCATGTCAAAGACTCTGGGGTTAATTTTCATTTTCCTCAGATTTGAAATGTTAGGTCTATTAATGATTTACAATTTCCCCTCTGGTACACAACAGTCTCTTTTTGAAAGCAGGCAAGGTTAGTCATAAATAATAAATAAGGCAGTAGTTAGTGCCTATTTGTGACTCATTTCTACCAGCTTTTCAAGATGATACTAATTTTCATTGCTCCACTAAATTTTTTATAGGAACTATTCACACAAAAATAAAAATTTATAAACACACTTTCACCGTGTAATTTTTATTAAAATTATGACTAATCTACTTATAGGTAACCTTTGTTGAGAGCTCACTGTGAGCCGAGTACTATGCTAAGTACTTTCCCTCTATTATGTCATTTAATTCTGAGAATGAACCAATATGTTCTATTTTAAACCCATTTTAGAGAGAAGAAACTGTGGTTTAGAGAATTAAAGTAAATTTCTCAACTCCTACAGCTCATATGTCCAAGCCAGGATTCAAACTCAGCTCTGACTAAAGCCCATGCAATCCTGACAATTAAGGACAATCTAAGAATCATTCAACATTAATACTAATTATTAAGCATCCACCTATCCTATTCATCCCATAAATATTATATTTATCCCACTGTACCATTAAGAGTAACTGATGCATATAGAGGATACAAGATACCATGAAACAGACACACATCACGTGTGAAGAGGTCCTCACTTTAATCTCCTCATGATAAACTGTATGTTTATAAGTGTGACACCCTAAATTTGAGAAATAATTGTCTAGACACAAAATGGCATCTCTGCTATTAAAAAAGAACCAAAATTAACTCAAATTTAAATGTATTACTTGTCCTATGCTTAGTAGAAATAAATTTCTCATTAAGAAATATGATAATCGCTTAGATTTTCTAGCTGGCTTCCATATACACTGTTTCAATAGAAGCCTTCTTTTGCCCCGGCTACCTAGAAAAGCTTTACTTTCAAAGTTCTTCGTTGACCTCCTTTTGAAGGATATTAGTTCAGGAAAAAGAGTTGCTTCCAAGGTCTCTTATGCAAGAGGGTGGCTGTCGGACTCCAGTTTTTCAAGGGTAACACCAAAGGAGGCTCTCCACGGCCACACAGCTTGCTTCTATGGATGGCAGCCCAAGTGACACTTTTGTACTTTTCCCAAACTGTGATGCCACTTGCAGGATAAATAAGATCAGGCATGGCGTGTGCATTACTCCTTGTCACTTTGGATCAAGGATGCCAGGTCACAGAGCGGTGAGCTAAACTCACATAACTCAATGGACCATAACCGTCATTTACTCTGACATGAGTATACACAGCTGTGATTTGTACACCATCCCCAGGGTTTCCAAGGAGAGCACTGGCTGCGTGCATTTCTGTATATCTCTGTGTGAGTTACTGAGCCAGCAGGATCGTGCATGAAAAAAAAAAAAATAGAGGAAAATATAATATGAAATAAAAGAATGGCTTTCCTTAAATCATTTATATAAAATAACATATACATGTAGTGTTTTTTGCAGATTAACTTTCTATACTGAGATACTTTTTAAAAACCTATGCTAAGATTCACTTTGTAAACAGCAAGTGGTTTTATAGTACTGCTTGAAGCATACAGAATTGTTTTTATGTAATTGTTGTTTATTTCTAGGCATGACTGGGATCCTCCAGATAGAAAAGTGGACACAAGAAAATTTCGTTCTGAGCCAAGGAGTATTTTTGAATATGAACCCGGGAAGTCATCCATTCTCCAGCATGAAAGACCAGTAAGCACTTGCACTAAACAGAATGCCGGCTCTCTAGGTTTCGGGGTTCCCAAGCAGACTTGAAGTTTGTATCATTTAGCAATGTTTGTCGCAAAAGTAATTTATGGATTTGGCAGTGTTTAGAAATCAAGTTGATTTTGTATCATGATTCGTGCCTCTTGTCTGAGAATTAGAGATACGCTCTCTAATATATTATCCCTACCAACCAAACAGGGGACCCATTTTCATGGTACTATCGCTGTGCCTCATCACAGCCCTGAGCTTAATTTTTTTTAAATTCATAAATGCAATACTTAATTGCTAGTCTACATTGCTAATGAGAAAAATCATTCATTAGTCTCTCTGATACAAATGGGCCCACAAAGTCCCATCCCTTCCACATCGGTTGCTTAATGTTTCTTTGAATTAAGGGGAAATTTCCCAAATGCCTTTCTTTTAAAAAAAAACAAATTGTTTTAATTGATTCTTATTAAATCTCTCTCAGGTTACCAAGCCTCAAGCTTCCTGACTGTCCATCTAATGGATCAAGATTCTATTTAACTTGGCAGAGGTTTTTCCTAGTTATTTCACCCATGCAAACAAAAAGATACATTAACTTGAAAATAACCACTTGGTTCTTCCAAGTGCGATATAACAAATAGGGTTATTCTTTGGCCCTCTTGGTTTTTATTTTCCCAGTCCCCCTTTCTGAGTCCTCTGCTTTCCCTCCTCGACCCTCAGGATCTCTTTGAAACTATAATTCCTTTGCATCTCTATCAAAATCTGCTTCTAGAGGTCCATTTATAATTTACACTCCTCGTTGCCTTAAAAGAATTTTGGGTGCTGTCAGTGAAGAGGAAAAAGTTTTCTTTGTTCACTCCTTTAAGAGTATCCAAAAAAGCATATTATTACATATAATGCAAGCCCAGCCCTGAAATTTGATTGGAAACCTTTGCCTTACCACACCCAACATGAGCGCCCTTGATTTTGTTTTTGAAACCCTGTATTTATGGTTATGTTCTTGAGAAACATGTTCAAAAACCTTATAATCACATAATTCAAACATAATGTTTATGTAAGCCTTCTTTGCCTTTCTTCAAATAACTCTTATCTTTTAGAGTAACAGAACTTCACCAGAAAAACTGAAATAAAAAAAAAAAGGAGCATCACTTGATTGAAGGCTTACTGCAAACTTTGAACTCGTTTACCAGCTTGTACGATTGCATATCATCCTTTGAAATTTCTAGTCTGAGAATTGAGTGAACCATGACGTTACCATTGCAAAAAACTGAAAGTAGCAAATAATTCTGCAAAATAATGAGCCTCAGATTTAAATGTAAATAATTAAATGATCATTGATGATCTTCCTGACAATTTATAAGAACGCTGTGATTGTACTGAACGCTTTAGTAGCTGTGGTCTCCGGAAACAGGATGGGTTTTAGAAGTTCCCTCACCAGGATATTTCCATTATTGAGTCATTCAGTAACATTTACTGAGCAGCAACTATGTGCCTGATGTCATACTCGGTGCTGGGACACAGTAGTGACCAAGACGCAGTCTCCACCCTGAGGAGCTCTGAATCTTTCATTCAATGAGTATGCAAAGCTAGACTTGTATTCTAAGACGGAGAGAAAGCTCTGGGAGCATGGTATTGCTGGAGATTTGGGTATGGACAGGGCTCTGCAACCACAGGCAAAAAGGAGTGGAAGGAACCAAGAAACCTAGAAAGAAATGAGAATGGGTGTCATGTGGAGAAACAGAAAGAACCAACATTTTTATTCCTCCTAAGCAATTTTGCAGGGGGCCAGCGCTATGCAAAAGGATTTGGGCTAGTCATCTATGTCATTTTGGCCTGGCCTTTTTTTATTCTAGGAACGGCCTATCTTCTTTTTTTCTTGTCACCCTGAATTCATTCTCATTGCCTCCCTAAAGCAGAAAAAAAAAGACAAAAATCTAACTGCGCAGTGGTATTGCAGAGACCACTGTGGTTTCCTTAGGATCCGGGAGCATCTTTAACCCATGAGGTGTAGGAGATGAAGAGCAGATTTGCTAAATGATCGTGGTATAGTAGCAAATGAACAAAACTTGAGGATTTCAAAGGAATGCGCTCTCCTGTCTTTTTACTCCCAGATGGTTTGTGAGCATTCCTTTGCTCTTTTCCTATTTAGTTTTCGTAAATTATACAAAACTCTCGGTAATTTTCTGTTGCTCTTTTGAATTCCTAGATGACCCCATCATCTGCCCAGTCTCTCCAAGTGTCACCCTGGCCTCCCCCCGCTCTCCCAAAGTTCTCAAAGTCCTCCCCCTGCCCCTCCTCTCTGCTGGCCACAGGGTGTCCATTGCCTGTATGACAGGGACAGCTACCCAGTTATCCTCCCTAATGCTCCTTAAGTACCCTGAGAGCAAAACCCAAATTTCTTCATGTAATTTCCAAAAAACCTTGTGGTCTGGCCCCCACTGACCTCTCCGGCCTCATGTCTCTTCCGGCTTTTCCTGCCAACTCGCCATAAGCCAGCTAGACAGACAGCCTTCAATGCCTGCCTTCTGGACTTTTGTACAGGCCCGTTCCTCCGCCGGGAAAGCTCTCTCTCCGTCCCATCTCACCTGTGGCCTTGTCTCTTTTTTCTCCAGGGCACCATGGCTGACACCTGGGAACAGGGATAGGAAGTAAAACTCCCTTACTGTGTGCCTATAGCAATGGGCATTTCCTCCTTACACCCTGAATTCTAACGGCCCATTGACTTGTCTGTGTCCCTCATTAGATGTTAAGCACCTTGAAGGCGGGGACCGTGCCTAGTGCACGCATTGTATCCCCAGCACCCAGCACAATGCCTGGCACATGGCAGGTGTTCAGTGAATAGCCATCGAACTAATAACTGAATGAATGACTATAGGTTTTACCCTTGTGATTAGTGGGTAAAACTGGTGAGGGTTGATCCCTGTTCTGTGGCTCATCTGTAAAGTCTATACTTTCCTAGCAACAAACGGCAATGTGGGTGTCCATCAAGGTACACAAAGGGGATTTGACACATGGCTCTTAGTAACTGTGATTCACTAATCCCCTGATTCCCTGAAATACACAGTGGGCAGAGGGGGCCATACAGCTTGAATAAAAGTCCTCCCCCAGACTCTGGCCAAAGGGATCCCCTTCTTCCTTAGGAATCAATGGAATAAGTGTTTCTGGTTTTAGCAGGAAAGTAAAGGTCAGTGCAGTTTCTTGAAGGCTGTAGATGTTCATTTGACTGTAAATTTGAAAACATTGATTAAGGGGGCTAATCTTTGATCTACAAAAGTACTTCGCAATTACCAGGAATTTATCTTTAATGGACTTGAACCACATGTAGTCCGTAAAGCAATCACACAAACTCTCTGCTGAGATTATATTAATAAAAACTTTACATCCCATCTGGATTGGATATATTTATAGGTGAGCCAAATTAAATTACATTAAATTAAATCAAATCAAATTAAGCACATATTCAGGATCTCTCTGCATGTGGTAAAATGAAAACAATAGGAAGACATTACCTTTCTTTACAGTAACTAAGCCAGCACATAATGATAAAAGCAGAAAGAAATAATCACCAAAAACAGAGCTGAAATGCAATTTAAACCCGCAGTGAACTTACACTTCCTTATCAATGATGATCGTCAAAGCTTAAAGTATAAAAATTCGGGGAGTTTCATCTGGTGGTTTCAATCCAGCTGACAATACATGTAGCATTTACTGTGGAACCAGAATAAATATAAAACATGGTGGTGAATACCATTAAAGCTTTAAAATCTAATGAGCATAAATTTTTAAGAACTAAGTTATGTGAACACTTCTTTTTGTTTGGAACCACATATAGAAATTATATGCCTACAATGAGAATATGGAGAAGAGTAGAATTTCTGTAACCTCAAAAGCAACTAAATGCTTTGAAATTGTAGAAAACATAAAAACTTTAAGAACGGCTCACCCTTGGTTGTCTTTAAAAAGGAATCCGTCCGATTTATAGTTTTAGATTTTCTTAAACGCTTCCTCTTGCACTGAAACACATTTGTTTTCGGCACAGATTTGCTAGGTTTTTCAAAGTAAGAAGAGAACAAAAAAGGTTAGAAAAATGTGCAACAGTGTATCTGCTTTTTTGGTTGTTTTTATGAGCAATTAGAGTAACACATGATCAGGCTTCCTAAGTTTCCCAGTGTTCACATTGGTGTCAAACAACTCAAAGGAACTTTCAAGTTTTGCATGGGAAGTGTTGATTTAGTGAGATTCAGAGTGTGTATATATGACTGCTGACGGACCATGTGTCTATCTACCACTGACTTTTGTGAGGTTTCTGTGTACCTTAGCAGGGATCTAGATTGCTACGTAATACATATCATTGTTGCATAACTAAGGCGATTCAATAGGTCAACCACAGTGAAAAGAAAATTCTAGTTCTGCCGTTTGCATCTCTCTACCATAAAAGCTATACTCAAATGTATGCCTCTCATTAAGTTCCAACATTATAGATAATTATCAATGATCATTGTTTGGGGCATTCTCTCTAATGGATGGATTCTAGATGACACTAGAATCTGAGACTATACATTAAATTTTTAACCTAAAAAAATCATAATTAAAAACTGTCCTTCAAAGTTATGGTGCAAGATGGTAGATAGTCTTCCTTTTCCACATTCTATCAGAGAAATATACTTCTATACATCAGGATTTCGTATATCTGTTTGTTATGTATTTTCTTAAGGTGAAAGTCAAAATGAAGTTGTAACCACTGGTAAATATATTTAATTTTTTAGTAAATTTGCTGCCCTCTGCTGTTCAAAATATTTTTTAAACAATTTGTTTGAGAGAAATTTCTCTCTCCCTTTAGCAAAACAAAATGCTAAATGTGAAACCAGAATCATAAAATCAAGAATTGGTAATATTATTAAGTTTATAATATTAAAAGCAAGGAGATTTGAAAGAACCAAAGATTCATTTTCTTGTGGAAGAAGTACTACGTCTCTATAGACAGAACAAAAACTACTAGA